TATTTTTATATTCACACATGTGACTATCTAAAAAGTAAATATATGTTTTCCTGTCAGGTAACTGACCTGCCACTGAGAGAAATGTCTAAGTAGGTGCATTTGTGGTGTCCGTGTTCACAGGCCCCGGGCACGACAAAAGGAAATCAAGTTAAGACTGACTTGTTGTAGGGGGGCAGAGAGAGAGAGAGAGCTCAATAGACTGAGCACAAGCTTTGCCTGTGAGAGGCCAGACTTCCTTCCCTGTCATCTCATGGTCCCCTGAACACTACGAGTAGGAGCCTCGGAACACAGAACCGGGATTAACCTCCAGCATTGGGGTGTGGGCCCAAGACAACAACAAAAACCCAGACTGGCCTGTCTTAACAGGTCACAGCTAGAGCCAAACAAACACCAAGCATGCAGGAGAAACTGATCTGAATTGTAGTCTAGTTTTCATTTTGATTTCTCAAAGAGAGCAGTGTTTAGTCATGGTTAAAGGTCCTGATCAGCTACAATGATTTGAAAACATAATGGGTAATTTAAAAAGGAGAGAGGGAGAGAGAGAGAGAGAGAGAGAGAGCATTCAGGAGTCAGCCACACCTTGAATCCAAACCACCTCCTTCATTTTCTAGATAAATGACCTTAGCCAAATTCCCTAACCTCCCCAAACCTGTTTTCCTCACCCGTAAAATGACCACAATAATAACCACCTCACAGTTTGTTTGGTTGTAAATAATAAATGCAATTACACAGGCATGGTGCTACAGTGGCAATAGCATTTATGTAACATTTACTATGTGCCAATCACTGGTCTAAACATGGAACTTGTATTTATTTAACTCAGACAGTCTTCACAACAACTTTATAAAATGGGTGCATCATCACCCTCATTTTACTGATGAGGAAGCTGGGAGTTCCAGAAGTTAAGGAGCTTGCCAGAAGTCACAGTGAATAGTGGCGTCTCTGCATTCAGACCCTAGCAATCTGATTTCTGCTTTTTGCCTTGCTTGAATGACTGCCCCAAGATGTAATGCATGCAGTTTGCATTAAGGGAAGAAATGATCCTTTTTATAAAAAGCTGCCACTTAAGTTTACATCATTTAGTTTACATTTTAAGAGAAGATCACTGTAGGAGCTGGAGAGATAATACAGTGGGATATACAGAGAGATAATACAGTTGCCTTGTGCACAGACAACCCAGGGGTTCTATCCCCAGCACCCATATGGTCCCCCAAACACCGCCAGGAGTAATTCCTGAGTTCAGAGTCAGGATTAACCCCTGAGCATTGCCAGGCAAGGCCCCAAAACCAAGAGAGAGGAGAGGAAGAGAGAGAGAGAGAGAGAGAGAGAGAGAGAGAGAGAGAGAGAGAGAGATGGAGAGAGAGAGTTTCATTCCAAAGACAAACCTAAAACGAATGTAATCTTAAAATAGGTATGATTTTACAAAATTATATGAACAATGACTTGTTTCAGATTTAACTTCAACTTAGTTTAAATGAGGTTTTAAAGATATAAAGCACAATAGCAATACAAATACATAGTTTAATGTAATGAAATTTGCTCGAGCGGGCCCAGTAACGTCTCCATTGGAGACTTTGTTGTTACTGTGTCTGGCATATCGAATACTCTTGCCGGGCTCTCCGAGAGGGGCGGAGGAATCGAACTCGGGTCGGCCATGTTGGCTGCGTGCAAGGCAGACGCTCTACCCGCTGTGCTATCGCTCCAGCCCATGAAATAAGCCTATATGCACAGAAACTTGGAAATGTATATTTAAAAAAAAAACACAAAGAAAATGAGTTTGCAAGGCAATGAGGTAGGGAGAAGGCCAGAATTTGGGTTTACTGCTGGAGTGATGGTGACAGGGAGTGGTGGATTTAGAGTCAGGACAATGAGGAGTTAAATAGAGCATATTTCTTTTCAAATGTACTCTTCATAATGTCAGATGTTTATACATCAAAAATGTACTTCATATAAAATATGATATAAAGTAGCAAAACACTTTTCTTCAAAAAGACTATTGCATTTGTTCCTCCTCTTGCTTTTAGTTGTGATAAAAATAACAGTACTAGGGATGTCTTTGCTCATCTATCTCCTGTTCATCTGTAAGTTTCTTCATTCACCTGAGCACATGTGTTAAAAGGTTCCTTGTGGGTTCTCTAGAGAGAAGGTCACAGCTCTCTGAAGATTCTCAAGCACGATGGAGCAGCTAGAACAATGAGAGCTATTCCCTGGTTATAGTGTTCACAGAGCAGTAGAAAAATGGGTGAAACAGAAAGGGCAGTCGGGTGCACAGGTATGTTTTGAGGAAGGCCTATGAGCTTGAAGTGCTGTGTTTTTATGTTTTAACTCTATTTTTTATTTATTTTGATTTAGGGGCCACATCCTGCAGTGCTCAGAACTTAACTCCTGGCTCTGCACTGAGGGATCACTTCTTGCCAGCTCAGGGGACCGTGTGGGATGATGAGGATCAAACCTGGCTTTGGCCATGTGCAAGGCAAGTGCCCTACCCACTGTACTCTTTCTCCAACCCCCTTTGGTTTTTTATTTTGTTTTCTAAACAGGACTTCCAAGAGGGTTTAAGAGTGCAAGAAAATATAAGGCATAGAATGCCTCTTCTTCAACGTTCAGAGTTTAGAGATTTCATAGATTTTAAACATAAATGTCTAAACATAACTGGACCCGTGTTTAAAAGAACTCTGGGTTGGAGTTTTTAATTCAAATTCAAACTGCTGTGGAATGAAGATGTCTAGAAAAATAAATGCTCCAGTTGCTAACATAGGAGAAAGTCCAATGATCCAAACAGAAGGCCCATGGGAACAAGAGAGAGGACGGTCAGATTTCTGTGCATGAGCCGGACGTCCACCCCAGCCCTTTGACGGCTGAGAAACCCTATTCCTTACGTGTCCCTCTACCGCAGATGTATTATTTATGAAGGAGCTAGAGATGATCGAAACTAATGTTTATTGCAAAGTACTTATTACTATATGCAAAACACTGTCCTCGTGCTTCATAAAATCACTAAATTTTCATCAAATGTCATAGGAACTGAACTGTTTTGCTGGTAAAGAAATGTCAGCACAGAGAAAGGAAACAACTTAGCCAAGTCATAATCGACTTATGGTGGAGCAGAGAGGCTCCAAGCCTACTGATCAGAATCAGAAACTGATGCTTTTTTTTTTAATAGTTCACTCCCTCCTTAGTCCTCCTTCCTTTCTTCTTGCTTTTGTTTTTGTTTTGAGGTCACACCCTGCGGTGCTCAGGCTGACTCCTGGCTCTGTGCTCAGGGATCATTCCTGGAAGGCTTGGGAAACCACATGGGATGCCAGGTATGGAACCTGGGTCTGCCTCATGCAAGGTAAGCACCCCACCCACTGTTCTCCTGCTCCAGCCCCTAGCTCTTACTAACTGCTTGCCATCCTCCCCTCTCCTCCCTTCCACTCCCCTCTTCCCCCCTCCTCTCCTTCTCTCTCTTTCTTTCTCTGTCTCTCTCTCCTTGAATCCTGTTCTTTTTAACCAGTCAGTTCTGATTTTCTTCAAAAGAAAACGTATCTGCCTTCTAGTCATAGCAAAATACTATCCAATCTTATTGCCCTGTCATATTACTCTTAGGCTCCTGCCATATCTTACTTTTCCCTAGACTTCAGTCATTTAGACCATGTGGTGCTCACCCTAACTAGCGCAACAAAAAAACTGCTGTTTTCTCCATCCTTCTTTAGATTTATCAACAAACAGATCGAACTATCAACACCTCCTTTTTTATTGAAATGATCCTCCCCGCCCCCCCATGTGTCCATGTGTCTCCAAACTTTATTCTTCCAAAGGTTGGTTTCAGTCACTGAACCATCTACTGTCTATTTGCTCTTTTCTGGTTAAAAAAAAAAAAAAAGCAAACAAAAAGCCACTTATTTACCTTCTGCTCTTTTTTTCCCTGAAGCTTTGCTTCCTTTTTGTTCTCTTGCAACTCTCTTCCCTTGACAAATTATAGTGCTACAATATATCTACTATATCTACTTCTCACAACCTAGTTCTAGGCTCTCTCTGAATGAATTTTGCAGATTTCTGTTTCAGTGGCTGAGTGGCAAGGTGTGTTTTAGTGGCTAGCTGACAGGAGACTGGCCAAGTACTCCACCCTGGCTGCTCATCTTGCCTAAGGCCAGGCTCCTGTAAACAGCAAAATACACAGACTCATTCTTTTGCATGAGCTGAAGACTTTTACCTGCCTGACGCCCCCTCCCCTCCCACCCCCGTCCCCAGACCATCCCCTAAGCTCTTAGATCTCTCTGTGAAAGCAATGCCAGCCAGATCTGGAGGGAAGCTTTCTACAGCTGAAATAGAAGCCTGTGGGTGACAGCTTGAAAAGGAGCCTGAAAGGCCAGGTCGGCGGATGAGCCCACCTGAGTGCATCTCAGTACCCAGCTTAGTCAAGTTCCTGGAGGGCAGGGAACTTCGCAGCCTGCAAAGTTACAAAGTTACTATGATTCAGCCTCTAAGCATTCCATTGAAGCAGCAATTCTCGGGGAGGGGTGGGGGGAGGGGGGTGTGTATGTGTGCAGCCGCTCAGGCAGGACCTGGTGCCTGCGGGGCGCACCCACCGCTCCCGGGACAGACCCGGGATCCCGAAGTCGCGGGGCTGCAGGAATTGCTCCCGGCTTTGCTCCGAAACGACCCGATTGTGGGAGCTGGGCGCGCACTTCTCCCTGCCACAGTTCATCCAAGACACGCTCGAGTGCCAAACAATGCCAGTGGCCCCGGTCCTGGGCAGAGATCAAAGAGCGTCAACCCTGACCTGAAACTTTGGTTTTGTTTTGCTGCGGAGTGGGGTGGCGAGAGGAGGGCGGGAGGGGAGGATGAGAGGAAGCCCCCCGGCTCTCCAGCCTCTCCTCCCGCGCCACGCTAACTTGGGGCGACGGCGGTTGGCGTCGTGCGCTCCGAAGGGGAGATCTCCAGGCGAGGGGGTCGCTGTCAGTTCTCGGGTGCGGCTTTTCGGGTGCGGCCGAGGGGAGGCTCCTCGTGCGGGAGAGGCAAAGGTCGCGAGGGTAGCCGGGCTCCCGAGCGCTCGGGCCGGCCCAAGGTGACACCCCGGCGGGCTCCCTGGCACGGCCGTGACCGTTTCCTCCCCCGCCCACTGGCCCGGCTGCACGCGCGCGCGCAGGAGGGCCCCCCCCACCATAAAAAGCGCTGCGCCGCCGGGACGCTCTCGGAGCTGCCCACCGACCCCGCGGCACTCGCATCATGCACGTTAACGGCAGAGTGGCGCTGGTCACCGGCGCTGCGCAGGGCATTGGCCGCGCCGTCTCGGAAGCGCTGCTGCACAAGGGGGCCAAGGTAAGCCGGGTGCGCTGCGGGCGGCCCGGGAATCTCCTGGGGCACCCCGGACACCGCCCTCCCGAAGAGATGTGGGCGCTGCGTCCCCCTCCTGGGCCCACCCGGATACTTTTCCAAAAAGTCCGCCGGGGCGGACGCTCTGAGAGCTGCCTCCCACCTCCCCTCCTCCTCCTCCTCCTCCTCGTCCTCCTCCCCCTCCACTCCCCCTCCTCCACTCCCCCTCCTCCTCCTCCTCCTCCTCCTCCTCCTCCTCCTCCTCCTCCTCCTCCTCCTCGAAAGCGGCCGTCTCGGGGGTTCAGGTCCCGCAGAGCAACCACTCGTCGGCAGCGGTGTTTGCTTTAGCAGCTGTGCACGACCTGGACCCCCGTCCTCTTGTGCCTAGGTCGCGCTGATCGACTGGAATCTAGAAGCAGGTGAAACGTGCAAAGCTGCCCTGGACGAGCAGTTTGAACCTCAGAAGACGCTCTTCATCCAGTGCGATGTGGCGGACAAGGAGCAACTGAGAGGTACGAGGGGGAGGATCCTCTAGGAGCGAGTCCCCAACAGGCTGTAACTTGCAGGCAGCCCCGGGTCGGGGAGACAACCCGAGTATGGGCCGCTTGCACCGGGCTCCTGCCCAGCGGCTAACCCTGGGCTCCAAAAAGGTAGTTTGGACTGTTAGGTTTCTCGCTGGCATCCCCACAGCGGTGTGTGTGTGTGGGGGGGGGGGGGGGGGGGGGGGGGAGGGGGCAAAAATGAAAGAGGGAAACAAAAGCCAAGAGGGCTTGAGAAATCGTCGTGTTTTAGTCATTTGGCAGCACATAATGTAATCTTAAATCCTTTGTGTATTCAGAGACAGTGCTGCTGCAGTAATTATTAAGTGATTGAAAATGCAGCTGGAGTTTGGAATGGTTCAAGTAGGTTAAGGAACAAACTGAGGCAAACAACTCCCAAGAACTGGGAGATAAAGCCCCGTGCTGCTCCTAATTGGGTCAGATGTGGCAAGCTTTGTCTCCCCAATACCTAGAATAAAGTCTGGCCAAGGGCCATCCTCATAGAATGTTGGATGCTTTGGACCAGTCGTTCCATAACAGTTGCTCTCTGAAACGGCACTTTAATAACATCTGCGCGCGGTGTTAGCGTTGCAGAAGAAAAGTTTCTATCAGACTTTCCTCAGCGCTTTCCTGTTTCCTCTACTCCCTTAAAATAGACCAATCTACTTGAAATTTCAGGAACAATATTGGTATCGACAGTAAGCAGATTTGGTCATATTGAGACCTGGTAGATTCGCATAAAAAAAAAAAAAGAACATTTTTGTCCTGGGAGAAAATTGAAAAGTAAAACTTTCGTATTTCACAAACTTTTATTGAAAGGCTGAGTTAGCTGTTAGATTAATCTAGGAATCAAAAAATGTCTCTAAAAGTCACTCAATACTCTTGTTAAATGTGAATTTCTTTGAAAATTGTTGAGATACTGTTTTTTTTAAAAAAAAAAAAGTGAAATTGGAACAGTATGTTAGAATGACCTGTTCCCCTTCAGTTAAGGGAAATTACTTGAAAGAAAATTGCATTAAAATCTGGAAATGCTAAGTAAATAACTGTGCATAGATTTCAAGCACATGGAGTAACAGATCTGTAAGCAGAAGTACGAGTGGGATGTATTTTACCGATGGTCTTATTAAATGGACTCAAGTTTTATCAACTGCATCAGGTAGCTTAGTTCCAGGATAAAGCCATGTTAAATCCCAACATCCATACTGATGGGTTAGAGAACAGTATCCTCTGAAAGCTATTTCTATCTAAATTTATGTATTTCTCATGTGAAACTTAACCTTGATTGTTTTTGCCTTCCAGTATGTAAAATTAGTACCTTGGCTGTAAACACATTCCTATGGGATAAGTGATTATGCTGGAGGAGACTCAGGCACATGAGTGACCAGCAGAACACATGAGAAGTCTATGTTGTCTGGGCATCAGCATTTATTGACACTGAAGGAAAAGGTAGTCTTTAATCTATAAAATTTCAGGATTTTATGCAGCCTACGACTTTTGAGACTATGTAGATATGTAAGCCAAAGGAGACATCAGTGAAATCATAAGAATAGGCAAAAAGACTTCTACAAATGATTTAGACATAACTCATTTTGCGAAGAAAAGTGGTGATGAGGTGGAGAAACATAGAGAGTTTAGGTAAAGCAGGATCATGGCATCTGAATGTCAGCAAGACCCAAATGGTAAGTCAGCAGAGCTCAGAAATAAGTAAGATGTTAGAAAGAAGATGGTGTATCCCACATTGGAAAAGGTAGATAATAAAGATACCCTGACAAAGAAAAGGAGCAAAGCCACAATTAAACATGACACATTTAACCATGTCATTGTTAATAAGGTGGATGTGGAGTTCGGAAGAGCGGATCATAATTATGAGTCATTACAAAAAGAGAAATGTAGATAGCTTTTAGATGTTTTCTACTGGAGGACCCTTTCTGGAATTAATTTGAGATCTTAAGAAGCAGTTTATACATTCCATGGAAAAGTAAACAGTTTTTATTTTGCTGTTGTTTTCCTGTTCAGTTAAGTATACTCTGAGGGTACATCTTAGAACATCTTGGCACATTTTTTGCAGTTAATTTGCACAGCAATCTCTCCATTTGGAAACTGATTATCCCAGGCTATCCTTAGCATATCTGTGGCTGTTAATGATGTGGCTTTACTTTAATCAAAATTTGTATTTATTTTTATTTCAAGGAGCTCATGCATTGGCCCAAATTTCTGAGAATGCTTTTCTGTCATTTGGAAGTATAACCACAACTGTAATCTGTAGTCTAAAATAATAGACCTCGAATCAATGATACAAGGCCAAAGAAGCCATTTAAATAAATAGAAATCTGCAGAACATTGGTATAAGAAATGTTCAGTGTCTTCATTATAAAAATGGGAAAATGTTTCAGTTGGATAAGGTTTTATTTGTAAGGACCGGATTCAGGGCTAGGCTAAAATGTCATCAGGCCTTACATTTTATACAAATGTCACTTGGCTCAAATGTCGCTATTATACAAGCCATCACACAAAATAGTTATAGAGAAAACTACGAGGTAGTGAACATCAAACTTACGGCAACCAAATAAAATCAACCAACTGAGAAGTAGACTTTGATTAAATCATCAAAACTCCTGAATGATCATAGTGAAACCCAACTCTCAAGAACTCTTAGCTTACAAGGCTGAGTTCCTTAAAGATAACTCTACCAACTTCAGTGTGTCACCAGATCACCTACAGATAGTCTTGAAGTACAGAGAGTAAGCCACCTGTGTGCAGTTTGATTTCGGCATCCCACATGGTTCTCTCAACACCACTAGGGGTCACTCCTGAGCACAGAATTAGAAGCAGACACTGAGCACTGCTTGGGGTGGCCCAATTCCCCTGAGCCCTCATCCCTCCCCACTCAAACCTTAAGTATAAAGTTAACATTCAGTTTCATTAAGTTGGAAATGGCCACAAATTCTCCAGGTCTGGTAAGTTCCCAACTAAAGATGATTATTGTTACTGGCACACAAACTGGACTTCGAGAAACGAGAAATCTTTACTCTGAGGATGAATTCATAGAAACTCAGTTCATGGGTTATGATTGAAATGTATTAGGAAAATAAGACTATAAATGTAATTTCTTTTTTTTTCAGGTACATTTAGAAAAGTCGTAGACCATTTTGGAAAATTGGATATTTTGGTCAATAATGCTGGAGTGAATAATGAGAAAAACTGGGAAAAGACTCTGCAGATTAATTTGGTAAGCCATCATTGCTGTGTTTATTGCCTAAAATTATTTCATAATGATACTGTCAAAATAAAAAGTCTTATATATATAGAAACGAAGCAGCTTACAATACTAAATAAAAGAAACATTACAGAACTAAAAAAAATTATTTTATGAATAAGAAAACATTTCTGATTTAAGTGTGAAAATAAGTAAATCTGTCTTTAAAATATTAAAAGTACGTATAAAAACAAAACAGAACAAAACAAAAACCCCAAACTACCAAAAAAAAAACCCACATAACAAAACCAGCATATTGCTCAACTTAGGGTGGGCAAACAATGACTCATAAGCCAAACTAGCCTGCCAGTTATTTTCAAGTGACCTACAAGCTAAAACCATGTTTTGAAGTTTTGAATGGTTGCTTTAAAAATGTTTTAAATAGTAATAGTAATTTTGAAAAGTTTTCTATTGTAAGCAAAATTTTATTCTGGTCTTGAGAACAAAGAACAAAAGGGAGGGTAGGACAAAGGCAATAAATGACCTTAAATAGAAGCATTCCGGTAACTTTATTTAATACAAGATGAACAAATAAGATGTGGGATTTTATTTCATATTAAGTGACTATCATATCAACACCCGAAGGCAGGCAAATGACAGGCAGTATAAGATTTTCTAAAGAAGATAAAGTATTTTTCAGATTTTTAGCTTGTCTCAGAGGTAAAAGCAAAAGTTTATTGTAAAGCCGATTCTGTGGCCAGATCCTACATTTTAACTTAAAACAGAGGTTCTAAGTAATATGAAATGTATGAATATAGAAAAGCTTAAATGTCGGTATCAATAAAAGTTTTATTGAGACAGAGTTGCCATCATTTCAGTGTTATCCCTGGCTACTTACATGTTACGAGAATTACATATTTGTGACGGGGATCTCTGGTGTGCAATACCTAAGGTAGTTAAGTCCCTGGCCCTTCACAGAGAGTCATTGGCCAAGCCCTGGCTGATTTTATGTTTAGAAAGTAAATCTTGGACACTGGAGAGGTAATACAGGAAGTAGGACCCTTCCCTTGCATGCACCTCTGTCAAACGCCCAGCATCACCTATGATTTCCCTGAGTACAGGCCCCGAAATAGCCCCTGAGCATCACCAAGTGTGACCCAACACTTCCTAACATCCCTCCTCCAGCGGTAATTCTTGTGCTGGGGAAATAGCTACAGGTCCTTGGTTTAAATCTCTGGCAGCCAGCCATATAACCCTATGAACTTTGGGGCACAGAATAACACATCACTGATTTTCAGACTGAACAGTCGGGCCCAAACTGATTGTGGGTTGAGTAATGCCAGGTATGGCCATTGAGTATGGGTTCAGAGGCTCCTGGAAATAGAAACAAGAAATAAATCTTAATTCTAGAGCCATAACAGAAAAACACTTGAAGGGAATCTCTATCAGTGCAATCTGTACCCTGCAAGGGTATGCATGCGCACTTTATATGGTGTCCCCCTTCATACAGATCTGTGGATTGAGGGGTGCGAGCAACAATACAGTGGGTAGGGCACTTGCTTTGCAATCAACCATCCTGGCTTTGATCCTCAGAAACACATATGGTCCCAGAGCCCTGCCAGGAGTGAGAGCTGAGCACAAAACCAGAAGGAAGTCTTGAGCACCACTGGGTGTGTCCAAAAAACGAAACCCAAACAAAACCAAAGATCTTTGATTGGAGTTTCTTAGGGCAAATCAATCTTAGCCAAAGCCAAATGTCACACCTGGACTGTGTCTTCGGAAGGTCCTTTTTTCATTCTCCAAAGCCTGTATTCTCCTGTGTGGACGTACAAGCAGTCTAGTAGTGACTGCATTCCAGATTAGCCTCTTCCATGTTCTTTCTTGTGTTCTCTCCACTCTGCTAGCAGAGAGATAATGTCTCCCCATTCTTCTGTTTTTGTTGTTCTCTTATTTCCTCCTCAGTCCTATCCACAGCTGCTCAGATCTCCCCAAGAAGCATGAATCTTTGAATAACCATCAAAGATTACCCTGGCACTTGGGGAGAGGTGGGCTTAATTTTGAATATTAACAAGGCCATCTGCAATGTATTTTTTAAATTCTCGGAACTTTAATACACTTCAAAAATTCATCCCCTACTGGGATCCGTGGTGGTGGGAAATGGGCACTGGTGGAGAGATGGGTATTTGATCATAGTATAATTGAAACCCAAGCACAAAATTTGTAAGTCTACAACTGTACCTCATGGTGTCTCACTAATAAAAATCAAAAAAAAATTCATCCCCACTCTGTTGGGATTGATCATTTATTCTGGACTCTATGTCTATTCTGGACATAGAGTCAACATACACTGAATTTCTTAGCATTTTCAAACAAAAATTAAAGACCAGCAGTGAATATGACTGGTGGTTAGTTTTTCCAGAAATGCCAGAGTTGACTCAAGGGTTTCACTGGGAGAAGGAGTAGAATTGATCAAAACCGGATTTAGAATTCATGAACTTTGATCTCATTTCTCTGACCTTAAGTTTCCCAGTTGGTGAGAGGGAATCCCTTGCTGTCTGATGATTGTTGCACATGATCAAACTGCACTTTGTATGGTGAGTGCAGAACAGCATTAGGATGTAGCCAGCACTTGAATTCATTTCCCTCTGGAGTATAAAAACCTGCATTTCCTTCATTTTCACACTCTAATTTCATTATGACATGGGACCTCTGCCCTGTTTCACTCTTTGTGAAGATTTAAAGAAATAAGAACATTGCTCCCTTAGCTCGCAAGTATGTTTAGTATAAATTTGATTAGTAATTTTTTATGAGACCCAGTTGAAATTTCACTAGTTTGTTTTTGCATTTTGGGCCACATCTGGCAACACTCTGGGTTTACTCCTGGTTCTGTGCTCAGGGATCACTCCTGGCAGGGTTGGGCAGACCATAGGGGGTGTTGGAGATCAAACTCAGGTCAGCTGTGCAAGGCAAACACTCCTTACTATATGACCACCCAGGCCCCATAATTAAACTTTTACACTCAGACATTGCTTACTAAATAACAAATACCTTCAGTGTGGGGGAACACATGAATATTTACCCCCAGAGAAGTAATAAATAGGAAATGAGTGAATGCAAACAAATAAAATATGAAAAAATATAAATCAGAAATAAAAGTTGGCTTCTATTAGAATTCTTAAGAACTGGTCTGAGAAAAGACAAGAACCCATGAAAGGACAAGTTTCATCATTTAGATGATAGAAGTTTTTTCTTTTAAATTTTCACCTTGATTTGTTTGTTGTTTGGCGTGCGGGGGTGGGGGTATGTGAAGTGGGGGTTAGGCATTCCCAAGTAGACTCAGAAGGCTCAGGAGTCCGCTGAGTGATTCTCAACTATCTGGGCCAGCAGCTCAAAGCAAGGGTCCGAGGGTTCAGTTCAGTGCTGTGATGCCGGCTATTACCAAGGGCCACCGGCACCTCACTGTGTGATGCTTTGGGGACCGTATGGTGCAGGGGATTGAACCAGGGTCACTAGCATGCAAGGCATGGACTATGGCGATATCTCTCAGGACCACAGATTTTATTTTGTAATTTTATGGGATAGTGCCAGAACATGGTAGAGTGAGTCGGGAGTGTGCCTCACTTGTGCCCAACATGACTCTGGTCCCCAGCATCTTACAGCTTCCTGAGCATCACTGGACATAACCCCGAAGTCCATTGACCATAGCTGGGTGGCCCTGGTGGACCCCATGCATAAGAACAAAATACAATATAACATAAGAATGTTAAATACACTTTTTAAAAAATTTTATTTATTGAATCACCATGAGAAAAGTTACAAATATTTCATGTTTAAGTCTTGGTCATACAATAATCAAACACCCCTCCCCTCACCAGTAATTATTTTTCACCACCAAGAACCAAAATATAGCCCCCACCCACCCCTCCCGATGCCTATGAGGCAGATGGTTTCTACTTAACTCTCTCTCTACTTTGAATACATTCATTATTTTGACAAAAGATGCACCATTATTGTTTGGGACTTCCCCCTCAACAATTAGAATTGCTGAAAAGGCATTGTGAAATAATTTGTTTTCTATTGCTAGTTATGAAAACCATATTTTGGATTTCTGATATTTTATTAATTAAATCTGGGGGAATTTATGCCAAGAGCAGGATAATTACGAGATTGGTTTCTGTGCGTCTAGTGCCATGGCTGTGCTAGAGAGCCGCTTGTGGGGGGCAACTCATGGCCTCTCTTGGGCTTGAAGGACGAGACGGTTCCGCCCCCTTTCCCATGAGGCTGCAGTTGCCCCATCACCGCCGGCTCATACCTGGCTTTTTCTGAGGTGGCGGCCACCGTGCTGCTGGGGGAAAAAGGACAGAAGAGACAGACACCCTTTCCCTCCCGGGGGGTATGGCACCGGAGTTAAATGCATAGTCCATTCACATTTCTGCCACAAGCTGCTGGGCTCTAGATTAGTTCCATTTGCCTCTGGTGCCATGGCCGTGCTGGAGAGCCACTCGTGTGGGGCAACTCATGGCCTCGGTTGGGCTTGAAGCATTAAATGCACTTTAAACCTAAAGTATCTTGCAAGTGTATGAGATGAGAGAAAGGAAATGACAGATTAGGAAAATTCAGTACTAAATATATATATTTGTATATATACACAAGTCCATACATTATACCTATGCTATAGTAATATATTAATATATACACATGCTTGTATATATGTATAAGTAAATATGATGCCATAGAATTAATATTTAAGTAAATTATTACTGTTTGTCCATTTATCTCTATTGCTAGAGAATTGGTTCCAGTATAGGTGACTTTACCAAAATAGTTTTAACTTCTTGGATGTTTTAATTATTGAAAACTAATTTGAAATTAGTTTTGAAATACAATGCAATTTAAATGTTATTATTACATGTAAAAATTATCTCTCTATAAGGGCTGCATAGAGAGTACAGCAGGCAGGATATTTGCCTTGCACATGGCCAACCCATATTTGGTCACCTCAAGTGGCTCCCCAAGCATCACCAAGAGTGACC